TTAACTTTAGCCTGTGGTACGTTAAACAAGTAAACTATGGTAAGTCTTCAAGTTTTAGGGTATCTGGGTATCCACTTAAAGAATACAAGAAGAGGGACTAACGGAGGGGAAGAATGGAATGTGAAAATAAAGAAAAAGAGAGAAAAAGAAACACTAAAAGGTAGACAAAAAAAGACAACACACACAAAAAACAACCCCACAAAATAAGATGATAGAAATAAATCCAATTATTTCATTATAACAATAAGTATAGATAAACTAAAGGTTTCAGTAAAATGAAAACATTGTTAGAATGGATTTTTAAAATCAGCTATATGCTGTTTACAAGAGACACATCCAAGATATAAAGATATAGAAAGGCTATAAGTAAAAGAATGGAAAAAGATATGTTGTGCAAATACTAACAAAAATGAACCTTTAGGCAAGAAAGTATTAGCAGAGATAGACAAAGAAGGTCATTGCATGATGATAGATGTTCAATTTCATCTGGAAACGATAATTCTAAACTTTTAGGTACTTAATAAAATAGCCTCAGGCCTAAATAAAAGGCAAAAGTGGACAGAACTGAAAGGACATAAAGAAAAATTTGCAGCCATAATGGATATGGAGAGAGAAACAGAATTGTTTCTGAATGATCCTGGAAGCTTCTCAAAGTTGCCTGGCAATGAGTTAAAGGGGACCAGATGCAACCCATAGCTCCAGGGGGAGGCTATTTCATAGCCACACTTCCCCCGGATACTAGCAACTGGTATTCCCATCATGGATACGCAACTTCTCTGAACATCTGTCACCCCAGCTCAGCATGTATCCCCTCGACTCCCCACTTGTAAGTAGGCTCTTTTGCTAGCCCCATAAAAGGCAGGTAGGTTTCCTTTTCTAGAGCATGCTCCATGATGATTCTAGCCACACTCAGCACAAACACCCCTCTTCATGAGAAGCTGAGAGCCAGGAGTCAGCATTCGTGCTGCCCTCACCGTTCATGCCCCAGCATTTCCCCGCTACCGTCTCTTCAAATTGAAGGTAGGAGATTTCAACACACCTCTCTCAGCAACTGATAGATCAAACAGTCAAACCAGGATTTATGAGATTGTACCAACATGGCTTACAAGTTTGATGTAACAGAAATCTATAGAACAATGCTGCCTACCTACATTGCAGGGTCTACATCCTTCCTAAGCACACATGGAACGAAAAGAAACATTGACTGTGCGTTGGGCCATAAAGACGTCTCATCAAATTCCAAATGATTAGTCTAATACAAATCATTGTTTCTGACCTCAGTGCAATTAAATAAAAAATTAGTAGCAAACTAGGGGAAAAAAAACAAACCCATGTTTGGAAATTAAGAAACATACTTCTAAATAACTCATGGGGCACAGAAGACATCATAAGAGAAAATAGAAAATATTCAGAATGGAATGATAATAAAAATAAGCATATCTACGTTTATTTGTGGGGCACAGATTTGGGGAACTGCTATATAGCCTTAAATGCACATTATAGAAAAAAATAAAAAAGACCGAATATTGCTGAATTAAGCACCCATTTTAAGAAGTTAAGAAAATTAAATTCATTCATTCCACAAACATTTACAGAGCACCTCCTATGTGCCACATGCTGTTCTAAGTCCTCTAAGTAAAGCTGTGAACTAAGCAAGGTAATGGAGGATAGATCATCTATGGCCACGGAGGCCGGGCTTTTACTCTGAGTGAGATGAGAGCCATTGGCAGGCGTGAGCAAAGAAGCAACACAGACCCTGCCAACTGGTGAGACATCGTCAGATCCCATATCTACTTTTAAAGTAAACTCGGCAGGGATGTTTTATGGATTAGATGTCGGGTGGGAGAGGCATGAGCCAAGGATGACTACAAGGCTTTTGGCCAGAGCAAGCAGAACAATAAAGCTGCCATTTTCTGAGATGGGGATGGCAGCATTTCATTTCTGAACATGCTGACTAACTTGGAGAGCCATATGGTCTATCTAGCTGAGTGATGGTTGACTACGTGAGTCTAGAATTTAGGGGAGAGGTCCAGGCTGCAGACACATGTTTGGGTCCTGTGGGTGACATTTAAAGTCAGGAGCCCAAATGGGATCCCTAAGGAGATCATATGGAAAGGAGTTCCAAGGTCAGAGCTTGGGCTCTTCCAACATGGAGAGGCTGGGAAGAAGCACAGGAACCAGCAAAATGGGCTGAGGAGTGGCTAGAGAGGTGGAGGTGTGTGTTACTCTGGAAAACTGAAGCATACAGCGTTATTTAAGGAGGTGAAATCGACCCCAAAGAGGAAACCCAGATGGCTAATAAGAAAACAAAGAGATGTGTTTGTATGGCTATCAAACACATTCAATCCAAATGAAAATGTAACCACCTTCAGATGTAATATATGTAACATATACCAAGAGAGGTTCTAGTTCAGGTCCATAAGGCAACATGGGAGAGGAGGTTCATTTCAGTTGGAGGCAGCTAGAGCCTCCTTCAGGGGTGCTGGAGGAGTAAAATGCAGTGGAAACAATGTAGAATGTAGTGCTACAGCTGGAAACAATGAACTGGATGTAAACACAGCAACATTGACTACAGCCTTAAAAAATAAAACACAGGATGAACTCTTAGGTTCAATACCATTTAAGTGAAACACACACAATAGTACTAGGTACATACATTTCTAAGGATGTGTATTCATTATGTTGGTGTCTCTAGGAGAGAGGGAAATGTGAGTGGGGTGGGGGTGGATAAAGGAGAAAAAAATTAAAACAAGAAGAGGCTTTATATGCACATGAATATGGTTAACTCCTGTGTACTTGATATTCCCACCCTCACCCTAAATAAAAGTTTTCTCTTGCTTGTATCCAGTTAGATTTAGGATTTGAAGGATACATACTTATGGCTTAAGGCAGCTATATTCTGAGTATCTTATACATGGTAGGTATGGTAACTGTTAGTTGTCTCCAATATGTGCACTGTATTCTCCTCTTATTCTTTAATAATACATTCCACAGCCTCCTTTGTGGGTGGGTACATTCATCTAATTTCTGGTCACTGTTGTACGTGACTTCTGGGAAAGTTAGTTAAAAGGTAGGGTGCATGTGTCATTCTCCTTCTCCTCTACTGTTGGCTTAGAATGTGGACATGATGGCTGGTGCCCTGGTAGCCATCTGGGACCATGAGGCAACTTTAAGAATGGAAGCCACATGCCTAGAAAGATAGGAGCTGGGATCCTGGGGACCTATGAAGCTGCTATACCAGACCTTGATGACCCACTTCTGGTCTTCTAGAGAGAGGAACACGCTTCTGTTATGTTTAAACCATTGCTATTTTGGATTTTTCCATTATATGGAGCCAAATATTCTCCTAACCTATAGGGTGGGTTCTGATTAGATGTTGAATTAGAGATAATTTCATTTTTCCCTAATCTGCCACTTCTTAGAAGAAAGGTTTCCTGGTGATCCTTTTTAAATGCCTCCTGCTTCATCTATTTGGTGTCTTCAAAGGATAGTAGTCATAGCTCTATTGCGATTTGTTTTAATTTTTAAGATTTTTTTTCAATGATAGAAGAATCCTATCAAATAAAGCATAAAATGACCTGGACTAGACTTTGAGGAAAAGCAGAGGTTAGGCAGGAGGCCCAGGTGGCACAGCCTCAGATTTCAGCACAGAGCTGGTGATAACTTGTTGTACCAACTTTTGTTAGACGGGGACACTGAATGAATGAACACGATCTCAGGGGCAGATGGCTTTGCCGATGGATAGCTGCCAATCAATATTAGTGTAGACAGACATCTAAGTAAGTGGTTACATTCATTCTATTACTAAGCACAGTAACTTGATGAACAAGGTTACTTTAAGGGCCAGAGGTAATCTGGTGGACTGAAAAACTCCTGATTAGAGGCAGACTTTACGAATTGGCGCTTCTTTTCTTATTTTTTCTCTTTTGACTCCTTTGAGTTTGTCAAGGCCTTTTCTGGCTTAGGGAAACAGGTTGGGCAACCTTGGAGAAGTGTATTTAATTCGCACTCGTGATGGTGGCAGGTCTTGTTGAGCCAGGAAGCATCTGGAACGACAATGCTTGAAATTACTCACTGGACCATTGTCCTGAGTGTCAGGCTCACCAGTGCTCTTTGCTGCAAATAAACCTCTTCCTTTCTAGATCTACAATTTGGAATCTTTCTTGGCTTAGCCATTCATAGTCTCCTAGATGTAATTTTGTTTTAAAAAATAATTTGCATATGCTTCATGGTTACAAAAGCAGTACATGCTCACTGCAGAAAAAATTCGGACAAATAAAAACAAAACAAGAAGCAAAAACATTGACAATCCTACCTACGAAAGACAACCATTTTTAACCCCTTGGTGTGTATCCCCTCTATACTGTGTGGTGTGTATGTGTATGAAATTTAGCCGTGGGGGAGTAAAATAAATTTTAATAAGAGCAGCAATCAATGAAATAGAAAGCAAAAACCCGTAGACTTGATTGGTACAACTAAACGCATATTCTTGAAAAAGACCAATAAAAGAGGTACATCTTTGCTGGTCTCATCTAGGGGAAAAAAAAAAACTCCACAGAAGTGAACAACATTTGAGATAAGAACAGGGACATAACTAGGCAGATGGAGGAGATGAAAATTCAGAGAATACAATGTTTGTTAATGTCTTGCAACCAAAAAGCTTATGGGAAAATGCTTAGTGGATGGTGGATGCATGTGGAAGCAGTTGACTAGCAACGAGGAATGCACTCCACTTAATTCGGGCACATTTATCTTAAGATCAAGGTCCCAGGTGTGGCCCTGGGCAGGTAGGTGATGGACAGAGAAGGTGATGGCTACTGAGTGGCGGCCAAAGATCGGGGACAGTTCAGCCACATTGAGTGGGTTGTTCCTGTGCAATTAGATGGACTTACACATGCGCTTTAATGTTCATATTATATTACATTGCAACCCCATTCTTCAGCACCCTAAAACGGTTCAAGTTCTTCATTAGCAAAGACATTTCAGACCAAACTCCTGAATCATTTGCAGCCATTTTTTTTATTCCAAACATGTATTTTTGTAAACCTGCATTCCCCAAACAGTGCAAGTGAATTAGAAGTGACTGCATAGACTTTTTTTTTTTTAATACACGTGACTTCATGAGGAGGAACACCCCTCCCACCAAAACTCCTCAATGGAAATGTACATGGATGCATCAGTCAAGTTCTGGAAGTGAAGTTAGCAGTGGGTGCCTGCCATGCAATTAATCACTCTCAAAGCTTTGAAACTCACTCTGCCAGTCACACCGTGCACATCAGAATTTAAAAACAAACAAACAGAAAATCTTAATAAAGTCTGAAGTCTAGATCATGGCGCTATAAAGCATTGCACCATGTGGGAACTTTGTTCATTCTCCCCGCAATGTGCTGACAATTAGAAGACATTCTAGAAGGTTCGCTTTGGCCCTACTGGGTCTGTATTCTCCCTTCAGCCACAGTTGCAAAAAATATTCTCCACTGTGTATAGTATTGCTCTGTACAGCAGAAGAAAACATCAGCTAAAACCTTGTATAGTGGAACCTTTCCAAAATGACACATTTCTGCCTTTTGTGTGCTAAAGGGCCATTTCTCCTACAATTATAATCCTTCCCAGTGCCTGTAAATTTTGGGAAGCTTGAATCAGGTGCATGTGTTTCATGTATAACCTATGCGTAACTGCATTCACCTGGGCATAATGCCTTATCCAAAACTAAAAGGAGTAACCTTTTAAAAAAATTACTCTGCTGGGGTTGAACAGGGAGCATATAGCACGCATATCACTTGAGGGATCCACTATGCTTCGTATTGAAAACAGGCCCCAAACGTTCCCAGGAGACCTGCTGGTTTTGTTTGTTCTTAACCTCCTTGCCTTTGGCTCAAGGACAGTAGGCTACACATGACTTGGCGAAGAAGGACTTTCTACTGGATTTTCTACAACACTTACCAAACTTCAGGATACTCCTGGTGATGCAGACGGCATTGTTCTGAACTGACTGGGAAAGCCTCAGTAACCTCAGTGGTAAGTGGTTCCAGATGGGTGCCTGTCAGTCACCCTGAAGCCAATGGGCCCACTCGCTTCTGCTAGTGCCTCCATGTTCCTACACTTCATGGTCTCTTCTTTGTGACAGGTCCAGGGCTCACTTTGTGGATGTTTCATATTGGTGAGTCCCAGGTAAACTGAGCATAAGTGAATCATTTTTGAAAACAGGGGGCATGCTTTTACTTAATTTCTACAAAGGTCCTTTTTCATATTTAAAAAGTATCTCAATCCATCTGACAGCTGGTTAAAACCATAGTGAATATACAACGGAAAAGCTGAAGCAGGCTGAAATAATGCTGTGCAAGAGAGTATCCTATAGGATTCCACAGTGAACCCATAGAAACGGGCAGGGTAGAAACTGGAATGCACTGTGGAATTGTAAAAGAAAATTCTGGAGAAGAAACACAGACACAACTCACCCTGTGTGCTCCCCCGCCGGGAGCCTACTGAGGCCTTCTGAACTGGGGTGGGGTGAAATGCCCAAACTGGGAGAGCGCAAACAGTGTGCTGGACTTCTTTCTCTACCACTGTGCTAAACGGTTAACAGCCTGGTCCCTGCAGCCCCACCTGCTTGCTACTCAGCATGATCAGACAAGCAGAGGCACCATCCTTCCCAAACCAGTTCCTGGAGTGTCTGCCAGTATTTGCTCCTGCTGACATCACGTATGATTTTCTTCAAAACTGCCTTATGAAATCTTAGTGAACTCCTGGGTTATGTGACTACTCACGTGAGTCTGACATTGCAGAAGCAAACGGATCCAGCCTCTGACACTGCCCACAAGAGCCTGCCTGTGTTGAAAGGAGCCTTTCCCTTTCGGCTGGCAGAACTGGGGGCCTGTGGGTCACCCTTCCACACTGTCACCAATGCATTTGCACCTCTTGTAGGAGGCTAGTGGCTATAAATGCATTTGGCCAAATGGCTGATGGAGCTGTCCGAGGCCTACCACCTAAGCATTCTAGAAGGTTTATTAAAGGACAACATGACACGATGAACAAGAGCCCATCAAAGGAAAGTTGCACATGGGGTTTCAGAAAGGAATCCATGCTCTACACTCCACGACAGGAAGGTTTGCCTGTGGTCTTCTCTGGGGAGCCTCTAGCAGTTAGTACAGTGCCTGACACCCAGCAGGGGCCCCATAAATATCCTTTACATGACTGACTAAAACCCACTCAAGGCTGCTTTTATTGCTTTTGATAAAAGTCACAGGTGAACTCCGAGCGAGACCTGGTTTCTCTGCCTGCATCTGCCTTGTAGTTACCTCTGTGCCTCCATCCCTGTTACCTGCAACATCCCTAACTTCATTCTAAGATCAGTCATGTTCCTGCCATTGGCCCTCTGGCTTTTGTTGTCTGTTCCCATATTCACCAGGAAGGGACACATGATTCATTTTCTTCCTGCATCAGAGTCAACTGCACAACAAGACATGGAAAGACACACACGTTCCACGCCAGGTTCGCAACTGCCCAGCATCCTCATATACATTTGCAACTATTCGCCAATTGTATAGAAAACCTGTCTCCCTTGAGGTTGAGTCCTCTGTCTTTTTAACAATGTTCACAGTCCCCCAACATGTTAGCTTCCAGTAAACAGGGTCCTATAACAAAGATCCTTCATCTTGTTTCTTGTTTCATTCCCATTTGATGCCATCTGTATGTACCTGGGGCTTGAGCAGGCTCTGATCAGCTATGAAGGACTCTGTCAGACCCTGCTGTGAGCCGTGTGTTTTTATATTAGATGGTGATCCAGCAGTGGTGACAGCAGCCATAGCTGCTAACAGTTACTGAGTGTTCGTTCACTATGGGCGAGGTGCAGTGCTGAGCATGCTACAGCCATCATCTCACTGTCCTTTTAGAAAATCACAACGCACTCAAAACTGAGCAGCACAGCGCATCTGATACTAAACACTGTCAAACAGAAAGCTTGGATACTGAAGGCCATGATTCATCATTCGCACATACAGGGGTTAGGGGAGGATGTTAGGGCTGTGCCCTGATCCCTCTGCATCATTTCTGTATGCCTCCCCAGGTTGGGGGTCGACCTGTAGCTCTCTTTTAGAGGGCTATCCCTGAGCTACTGGAGCCATTTTACCAGTAGGAACTGAAAGCAGAAAGTTTACATCTCCTCTGGATGCAAGGACATGAAAACTCAGCTCCCTTGCCTCAGGTTGGAGAACTCTGAGACTAACTTACCCTCCAGAGCTCCCCTGCAGGATCAGGCCGATGCCACCTCCATGGGGACCATCCTTGAAACGGCACCCTCACCTGGCTTCTTCCTTCCCTGCCCTGCCTCCCTTACTTCCTTACTGGTGTCCCCTGGGAACATTTCCTTACTAAGTTATTTGTAGGCAGATCCTCGTCTTGGGGTCTGCTTTTTTGGGGGAACCCACTGAAGATGCTATTTGAAAAACTAAGAACAGGTTGAATGGTCATCTCTGGGAAGGAATCTGCAATTACCATTCACTGGAACAGCAAGAGTGATGGGGAAATGGAGACCTCTGAACTCAAATGACCATTAAAAGGCAACACAACACAGCATTCAGACACAAGTCTTTGCTTGGTGGGCACCGATTTAGTCCTGGTAGTATGTGGACTCTGATGCATGATGTCCAGGATGAGATGCCATTCTGAGGTTTACCAGATGACTGACTGGCGTTGCTCCAAGCTCTCTTGTATTAATCCAGGGGGAAGGGGGTTGAGACGTCTGCTGTGTAGAGGTGACACAGAGCAGACTTGCTGCTAGGAATCAGATTTTTCCATCCAAATTCCTGTTGGGAATCTTCCAATGAAAGGTACATATGAAAAAACGCATAGTTCTGTAGCACATTACTTCAAACTTGACTCCAGGCAATAAAGATGTGAAATGTCTTCGGGGTCCTGCCACAACCACAGTTTATATGCAGCACTGCCAGTTGGGTGGATTCATTACATGAGGTTTCTTCAGATTATTTTTTCTGCAAGTCTATGTTAACAGCAAGTTCCAAAGAACTATAAGATTTTTATCCTTTAAAATTTGCATGAATGTAGATGTGTTTCCAAGATTTCAGGCCAGATATCAGTGCTTGAGTGAATTATATAACTATTTAATAGAAATAATAAAACATTGATACAAATATAAAGACATAATCAGTATAAAAGGCTTATATTTATAAAAATACTTTTAGGTAACAGTTTTCCCCTGAGGGTTGACCACGCATGTTGCATCCATAAATATTGCTCGGCTCTGTAGCTTGCTTTCCAAAGTTCAGAGTTCATCCTTAAAAGGAAGTGGTGGTGGCTCCAGTCATGTGACCTGGCCAAAGTGGCTGCCTCAGGTTGGCACCTGGGCTTGATAGAGTGAGGATGAGAACAGCATCAGTGGGGCCTCCGAAAAATCTGGAGAAGATTCTTTCTTCCAAATATGGAAGATACAAAGATCAAGGACGACAGGTGAAGTGATTGGGTCATGTGACTGGTGTGGCAGGTCACTGGTTTTTCTGGACCCAGTCCCAACCATCTTCGTTCTCTTTCCGGTTCTTCTCAGCTTCAATAATTTCTTTGTACCTTCGGCGAAAGAAGCCCATCTGAAAGGCAGAGAGAGGATACGCTGGGTTAGAAATGCTAAAAATCAGCCATTTTTATTACCAGGCAGCCTGGCCGAGGAGGAGGCACGACCTATACTCACAGTGCTGGGAAGGCTTAGAAAACTCCTCAGATTCGACTGCTTTAGAAAAAGCAGGACGTGGAGCCACTTTTCAAAATGCATGGATTTCCTGCAGGCTATCATATGACCGTTCCTTGTAAAGTGCTTCCAGTGGGGTGTTTCCCAAACTGTGTGCTGGGGAACACTAGTTTTGGAGAGTTATTCCGAGGTGTTTGGGAGTGCTCGTAAAATGGGTCTCATGGTCAAAATAGGTTTGGGAAATCCTGCCTTCTTTCTTTAAGAGATTCGCAATGCACAGAACAGTGAAGGATCTAAGAAACTCAGGGGCTTGACGTTTCCTGAGCTTATTTGGTTTTTGATAAACCTATTACTATTCTAGAGATGGTAGCCGTCATGGAATAATTTGATAATTGCTGCTCTCACATAATGGGCTTTTGAAAGTGTCTGCAGGTCTGCATTCTACCTTGCTGTCATCTAGATCTTTCTCCCAGACCTGTGACACCCATGCTGTAAGTGCACCACAGCTGGCAGCATGCACTCCCCTGGAACTGGTGCCCCATCCTGACGCAGGATGGCAGTTTCCTTTAGCTGCGTTCTGAAAAAGACCTTCCCCTCTGAGGTCTTACGGCTTTTCACGAATGGTAAGATAAGTTTTTCATTTTTCTCACAGTCGTCTCAGGCATCACTGCCACGTATGTAAATAACTTTTTGGAGTCTAAAGCTGACCTTCTCTCCCATGCTCAGGGTGACCTGGCATCTCTTGTCTTTTGCTCACCGGCATTAGTGGTGTCTGCCTCTGGGGTCAGACATCCCTCCTTGCATTTGTCATTCAGCATGACTGTTGGGACTGGGTATACTCTGGCTCTCTCTCTCTCCTTAGGTGTGATAACGTCTTACCAGCTTCCCAGGAGAATTTGCACACAGTGCTAACCAGCTTGACACATCCTTTATTGGCTAGCTTCTCTTCCCTGACTCGTGTCCCTGCTCTGCTCAGTGTTTCCTGAGGTCACCTTCCAAATAAATGACTTGCCCTCAACTCCTCCTTTCAATCCCCTTGAATAGAGGCATTCAAACAGACACATGCACGTGGTCTGCAGCTGGCAGGTCTGTTGCACGGCAGGTTTGTGGCACCACACCGTCATGAGCTTATAATCCCTGTGGTCATATTTGAAAATGCTCAAGACTAGCAATCTCTACAGTCTGCTGCCAACAGTGAATGCTCAGATAAAGCTGCCCTAAGCAAATCACCAAGCAAACTCAGTTCTCGGAGGCACATCTAACCTTTTCCGTTTCCTGTGCATTAGTCTTCATGCTCCTTTGTGAGCCAAGCAGCCGCAGTCATCTGATGGTATGAACTCCCCCAAAGAAGGGAAAGCGACTGGGGACTTGTCTTGCTGTACCATCTTTCTAGCCCCCAAAGGGGGTTATTGACAGAGTCAAAGATGACAACTGTCAAGAGAGCTGCCAGGAAACATCTCCACCCACATTGCGAGGGGAATTCTGAGAGCTCACTCCGAGTGGAGTCAACGAGGTGATGCAGTTTGAATGATTGGAGTAGAAGCTTCCTTAAAACAACTGGCAAGGGTCTTGTGTTCTGAGCTTCACTTCTCATGGCCAGTTTTGTAAGCAAACATTGAGTTCCTAGTGTTTTTGGCCCTGGCAATTTGGTCTCAGTGTAAGATCGCGTCTGTCAGATCATCACTTTCTGACACCCTCACACTTACACTTTCTGTCCTCAAATCCCTACCACCTTCTCCCCTCTGTAAGAGATATGGAAAGAGGGCTTGGCCCAAATGTTCTGGATAATTAGAAAAAGGTCCTTGTCATTGCCCACCAAGCACATCCACAGAAGGCCAAAAAGCAACCCACGACTTAAAAGAAATGTCTAACTAAGAAGTTATGACCTGAATGATCATTCTTTAAAGATAAAGATGTGGCTGGCCAGGCAAATATGTCAGGTGCCCCTTCTGAGCTGAGAACATAATCACGAAAATAAGGCTGGGTATAATATGGAAATAAAATTCTTTAGCACATAACTCAGCCTGCCGATGGTGTAATGCTTCAGAAATCCCAGGTTACTTACTTTCAAGTCCAGAGAAGTAACATTTCTCTACCATGGCACTAATCAAGCAGAGTTTTAACTGTGCTCCCTTCTTATCTTTCCCACTTGTCTTAGGACTCCTTGAAGGCAGGACTTGTGCTTTTTATCCCCAGAACTCAGCATCTCACCTGTACTTGGCAAAGATGACTTGCAAAGATGCCCACAGTCCTTCATTCCCCCTGTATCCATGCCCTTCACCACATGACTTGGCAGAAATTTCCATCAGGAGGTGGAGTCTATTTCCTACACCTTAAATCTGCACTGTGACTTGCTTTGACAATTGGATGCAATAGAGGAGATTCTGTGTCAGTTCCACTCCGAGGCCTCAAGAGGCCTCCATGTGAATGAGTTTGGTCTAGTCTGCTGAAAGGTAAGAGTGCACCCATCTGGGGCTCTCCTAGGCCTGCCAACCCCCAACTGCCTTGAGGTGTGGGTGTGAGTCCAGCTGAGCCTGGAGAGCTGCCCTGCTAAGCTCAGTCCAACCCACAGAACTGTGGGTTAAATAGATGGTTGTTGCTTTTAAGCCACAAGACTTTGAGGTGGTTTGTTACGCAGCACAAGTTAACTGATACAGGACTCCGTGTCTTTTGCTGTACTTACTGAATGAATCAACACCCACAGGAAGGATGGCAAAGGGGAAGCGGACAGGGTTCTAGATATAAAGAGCATCCCTATGCTTTGTCCTGCTGAACAGACTTTCCTTGCTCATCTCTAGGAAGGACAAAAGTCGGCTGACTTTCTCATTGCTGTGCTAGTGTAAGGATCTGACACAGTGCACAAACAATCTAGCAAGGATGGAGAGCACCTGGACTAACTCTCAGATGTGGCTCTCACGTGCTCATGTTTTAACTCATATGTGTGTCATATTTGTGACCATAAGGCGAGGGCGCTGTCATCCCCTGCAGGCACCCAGAAGCAAGCTCCTTTCTCTAAGTGCAGTGGTATCAGCATTAGTTCTACAATCACCTCCCCCCACGGGCAGTAACTGTAGAGTTGCTCTCAGAAACAGCCTTGCAAACTCTATACCCCACACCAACATCGCAGGGTCTTCAAGAGCCCTGTTCCCAACACCATCTCAGTGTAGTCTCTAGAGGGAAGGTTAGAGCTGCCACTGATGTTTTTCCTCCTTCTGTGGAGCCAAAGACTATTTCTTAAAACACAGTCCGCTCTCATGGCTAGGGAGTGCTGCGTACAGTAGCACAGGCTGTGCACTGCATAAATGTGGGGTGGGGGGGTGCCACCCACATAAAAAATGTGTCAATTTATTACAACTACTTTCCAGCAGATGTCAGCAGAGTGTCTTTTTCAAGCAAAATCTGTAGATTCTCTGAATTCTCTGACAGAGGGAAGCAAAGCTTCTAGAGCAGCGGTTCTCAACCTGTGGGTCGCGACCCCTTTGGGGGTCGAACGACCCTTTCACAGGGGTCGCCTAAGACCATCGGAAAACACATATTTTCGATGGTCTTAGGAACCCAGACACTGCTCCTCTATCCGTCTCCAGAAGGGCCCGCCCACATGCAGATACGCCCACATACGAGTACCCGGCTTCAAGACAAAATTTCATTTAGTTGTAATTAGAAATAAATATTTCACAATATATAATTATATATTGTTTTTGTGATTTATCACTATGCTTTAATTATGTTCAATTTGTAACAATGAAAATACATCCTGCACATCAGATATTTACATTACGATTCGTAACAGTAGCAAAATTACAGTTATAGAGTAGCAACAAAAATAATTTTATGGTTGGGGGTCACCACAACATGAGGAACTGTATTAAGGGGTCACGGCATTAGGAAGGTTGAGACCCACTGTTCTAGAGGGAAGGGGCATCGTTTACTAGTTTGCATAAAGGTGCCATAGGGTCTGGTGATGGCTCTGTCAAACTAACTATGTTTCTTCCACGATCAAACTAATTCTATTTCAGCAAAAGAGAATGTCATCTTTATGCTTTTGTTGAGAGCCTGGTTGTGGCTTTGGATATAGAGTCCCAAGTCTAGGCTCTGAGTTTACCAAGCAATGATCCCAAAACAACTGTGTCACGCCAGGTCTGCCCAGTGCCCCAGGACCTACTGAGAAGAGCTGTACGGGAGAGACGTGGCATCGGGGGCCCAGAGGCCTGATTACTGCTCACGCTCCAATTAAGTGCCCCTTGGCTACAGGGTAGGTCATTTTCTGGCTCTGAACCCCAGTGTCTTTGTCTCTGCCCAAGAGACCAATGGCATTCTCAGACGTCTTCCATCCCCGAAACACAATGACAGCTTTTTATGTTGGTCCCCTCGGCAAATTCGGCACTGCAGCCCATGGAGGCACACAACTGTGGACTCAGGACTCACGCTAAGAAGGCACAAGGCATGGAGTCTTTGCCTGGTGTCAATTTTTCTCAAAGAGTTTTTGGAAAACTGAGTTTTCAATTTTTACATTAAAGTACAGGTATAATATAAAGTATACGGACTTGTAAAATTCATAAAAATTAAGATAAATCAAGGCTTCAAAGACATTTTTCTCCTGCAGCAGGCATATCTATTCACTCTTGCTAGTGCTCGTGGCTACTTTGGGGAAACTCTTTGAGAAGTACTGGGCAAACCTATGTCTTTTGCTGCCAGCTGAGCCCACGCTAAGCATGCTGGGAAATTATTAGAGCTGAGCTGAAGCTGGACCCCCAGCAGCTCCACACTCAATTCCAATCCAATGGAGTCAACGTTTTCTTGCACTTTTTCTGGAACCTTCCAGGGCTTCCTTTGCCACTCGACGGGCAGGAGGCTCCGTTTATAACTGTTCCGTCTGTAGCAGAGAAAACACTCACAGAAACC